CGACACGAATCTGTTCCGTTTGTTGAAGAACTTTCTAACGACGAATTGGAAATTTATGTAAGAATCATGTGATTGACAATGACAGTAATCCATTCTATTGCCATTACCATCGCAGGAAGGCGCAAAAGTCTGCCCAACGCAACAAGAAATATCCTATAGGAAAAAGCTCGACGGTGTATTAATGTCTATGTTCGAAAAAGCAAAATTAAATAAAGGAAGTGGTGAAAATACGAAATTAGGTGAGAAACAGTCACTGTAATATTCAGCTTAGCTCATGTTAACAAAGGATAGTGGAAGCGGAATTCGTCTTGAAACTCGTTCCGTGGTTACTTGATGGGTGGATTTTCTCCCTGTACAGGTCTCCATTTGCACTCTCAGAAGCAGTACCTTTTTTGCAGTCGGACAGTGAGCGACAAGGACCCTGCGTCGTCAGAAAGCGAAGTAGCCCTCGCTGTCTCACCTGTTTAGGGACGGGGAGAGATTCCGACGTCCATAAATACAGTCCTCATCATTGCGGACCGGTGGGGCGTGTCAGCCAGTATGAGTGTGCACACTGTTGAAGCCGTTCTCAGCCTTTTTGTTGAAACGCGTATGCGACAAAAAGTGGTAGAAAACGAGTAATACGGAGGATATAATACAGTCATATCATTTGCTCGCTTTAAATACTGGTGGAGAGCGGGTTTGGCACCGCGCCAAACGCAGCCGCACTGAACCGCCCCGACAGTACGTAATGATGAGGACTGTACCTGACCCGTGACGTGGTGCACACACTGTGTATGGGGCTGACTTTTCTTGCTTCGCCACTCTTCCAGCTTGTTTTCCTCTTCTCTCATATTTTACTCTCGTCTACAGCCATTACAGTGTATCGCCTCCCAAATACTTGTCCAAGTAAGGGCCTTACTTGTGGGGCCTGAGACGAATTTACCCACCTAGGGGCATTCTGTCGCTACGGAAATTCGCCTCAAAATGCAACCCCAACCCCCCCCGCCCCTCTCGAATCTTCCTCCGGTACGTTTCCCTTTCTCGTCTCAATCCTACCCACCGTCTTCTTAGAGTTAGCCAACTCCCAACTTCCTACCACTTTTCCAGAGTTTTTGGCAGTTCCTTCCCAAAAACTGCACTTATTCCCAAAAACTTTCTCAAGTGGGTGGGAGAGAGTGATGGAAATGCAAAGGAAATTTTAGACGGGAGGGGTTGTTTCGTATTTCGAGATGAATCTTTCCATAGCCGGCTAGAACTACCTTGGTGGATTGAATTCCCCAAGGAGGAAAGTTCTTAATAAAAAGTCAAATGTTCGCACACAGACGAATATAACCGACCATCCCCCTTCCGGTACAATGGCTAGGCAGCTCGGCAGCGAACAACAGGTATTTGTCCGGTTGTGATCCAGGACTATCATCCCGGGTGGAAGTGTTCCGATTTTCCGAGGCTCACGCTACCATAATAAGCCATGCACTCCTAATTTTCCAGTGATGGAATTTAGCTAGTGCTGAAAGTATTTCTGTACATATAACTGCAGCATGATATCACCATGTTCAGATAAACCACCCAGAAAGAAAAAAAGTAAAAACAGTAGCGAAAGGAGAAGTAAAAACAGTCAAGAAGATGAAAAAGGAGGCAAACTATTCAGGAAGAAAAAGTAGAGGAATAGTGATGAACAGAAAGAAGAAGGAAGTAGTGAGAAAAGAAAAAGTAGAGGAAGTAGTGAGAAAAGGAGAAAAAACAGTAAAGAAGATGAGAAAGGAGGCAAAGCTACGGGGAAGAAAAGAAGTAAAGGCAGTAAAGAAGATGAGAAAGGCGCGAGACGTAAACCAACGAACAAGAAAAGCGGTAAAAAGGATAATTCAAAACGGGGGAAGGGTTCGTCATTGCTTCGTCGCAAATTATCAAGAACTGTGAAACGAGGAAAGCTCCTAGCATCTGGTGAAGACGTCTCTCATTCTCGTTCCAGTACGTCGAAAATTTATTCGTATAGTTCATGATTGAATTCGCTTTTTAATCTAATTACTCCTTTATTTATTATTATTTATTTTATATTTATTTATTTATATTTATTTATTTATTTTTTAATTCCGATCCATTTACATTTTAGCTGCTTCTAAAAAGTGGTTGATTCAAATGGGTAGGCCTGGGCGCTGCGCGGCCAAAGCTCAGGCTTAGCACAGCGCAAACCAGACGGCAGCGCTGAATCTCGTAGTCATCGCTGCGTGTCCTCTCTCCTCTCTCTCTCTCCACCAACCAAACACTGGACCACACTAAACCCAAGACTTGCGCCTCAACCTTATTCCTTGCTTTGCAAGTGTCGCTTGCACATGCAACAAGAAGGAATCGATGGATCGAAACTCAAGGGAGCCGCCCATACTTCGCGAATCTTTATTCGCGCGACTGTGGCCGAGCATGGTCCATCGCCAATCGCTGAACCGCTACAACCGCTAAATGAATCACCTTCAATATTGGGATTCTTTCAACCACCGCAGCGGTCCAAGAATTAGCGTTGCTGTCGTGGTCTTGCGGTTCTTGAGTCGCGAACAGGACTCACTATCGATTGTGTAAAACCCATTCAGAGGGTTGGTATCTGAGCCCTGGGGAGGAGGGCCACATTTTCTACATAAGAAAATAGTTTCTAACAATTGGTTTTCCTCATTTCACGAGCTACAACTTCCGCTCCACCTCCCCTTGATCGGCAGCGCCACAGAGCTATTTATCATGATTGATGATCGACGATGTCTACCCCTGCTCCCCACCCTGCTTGACAGCAGAATTTCAGGAAAGTTTGGCAAAATGGCGGGTAGCATGGTAAGGGGGTCGTGCAGGAGAAAATGGGATATTTTGGGGAGGAGCAGGGGGAGGGCTGTATATTGTAAACATTTCCCACAAAGTGATGGTGTGCCTTGATGACGGACTGTGAAAGCTGCCATCCCTGCTGCTGCTGCCAGCCTTTGTCACTTTCAACAGAAAGACGTCTCAATCGCATTTTAGCCATGCGAAAAGTGAACTTAGGCCACGCCTGTTTCCTGTTCGTCTGCGTCTTTTCTGGCTCCCGCAAAACTCGTCTAACACACATCTCTGAGATGTCGCAGACAAACCAAGAAGGCGTGGATGAGCGCCACCACCCTTCTGTCGCTTTCACAGCTACGTTAGCTACGATTTCCCCTCCCAGTGACGTATGAATCTGGAAAAGTTCTGCTCAAATTTATTAATCCCTATCCATTACCCTACAAATAGATAAAACAAACTGAACCGCATAGACATTATTAGGAGGCGTAAAATTGTTATTATGCAGGCATTGCAACCTATCTTCGTGGACCGTAATATAAAGCTCGAAAACACCATATAGCCTGATGGCTACTGTAAACCAAAAACAAGAGATAATTCGTTAAAAAGCGAGATTCAAAACAAGCTCCCGCATTCATCGAAGGCTTCCTAATTACTGAATGGATCTATTCTTCATCCATTGAACTTCGTTCCATGACCGGCACTGGGAAGCCGTGCTTCATGTCTTTAGTTGGCCAGGAGTACGTCTTGTTAATAAGCTCCTCGTATTCGACGGAATAGATTTGTTGCCGAATGAACATCTCCTGAAGTGAAACGTATTAGAGCACCGTTTGGATTGCAGGTTGGGCTACGCTGTCATTAGGCAGCGTTCAGACTTCGCGACGGCAGCGCCTCGGTCGCGAACTCTGAACTTGCCTGAGCGCTCCCCTACTTTGCGCGCCTGTTTAGCGCTCGGGCGACGCGCCACCGACGTGTCATTCCCTGTCTTCGTCCATTGAGGTGTAAAGCTGCGAGGAAAGTTAACGGTTCAAGCAGTGTCAATAGAAGGCCCTCTGGGGTGGGCTTTATGAATTAAATCATACGCGCTGGCTTGTACGAAGAGCCAAAACACCCGCTCCAAACAGATTCCCAGAGAATTCGGACGGAGAACTTGATAGGTCCCTGATGGGGCTGAGATATTGGGTTGGCCCATAAGTAATGGCGTTTTTCTCACTCCGAAAATCTCGTTAAAAATGAAGTTTTGCCATCGAGTTTTAGACTGTTTTGTAGGAAATCCTTGTCTTATACCAGACCTCTTACTTTTTCTGAAGTTTATTTATATGTGAATTTATACACTGATATTTAAAAGCTGAAAAAACGCCATTACCTATGGGCCAACCCAATAGATAAGGATAACACCTAATCCGTGAACCTGCTCCCTTTAACAGCTCTCCCCATTAGCGAGCATACGTCTCCAAGGGTGGAAAAACAGCAGCTAAGTTCCAACCTTGTCTTCTGGCTCTGGATGAAGAGTGGCGAGGTTGTGTTTGAAAAGATAGTTTCCTACCTGAAAATGACAGAATTGAGGACCAATCAGAAAAACAACAAGGTTCGGGTGCTGTTTGGCTTGGTGGGGGCATTTTGCGCTTTCACTAGTTCCTTTTGCAAGTTTCTGTTGAACTACACGTCAACTTGGCGAGACCTGAGCACCCTTGTCAAAGATCGACAGTAACCACCTATGTCCACCAAGCCCACTTGCGCCAAACACGCGGTTTTACTCCAAGTCTTCTAATTTGGGAATTTTCTGGAAATTCCAAGAAGCTTACGTCAATAGCGATCAAAACGGACAGTTCCCGAATGTCCTTGAGCCGAGGATACAGACGCGAATATGTATGTAACGACCGTTCTGTTACAAATTCGGCGCATCTCTGAATATTTTATATTGAGGGGGGTCAAGGCACAGCCGAAACGGATGTGGGTCAGAAAATCCACGTTGCAGCAACCAGTAGTATTTTCCAGCTAGCACTCGACACACTGTACGTACACATTGAATCATTCTGGTTCAAGTGCGCATGTGGCATCCCTTCTGCCGCATAACTGCAACGCCGATTTCTCAGCCCACACCCTAGTCCACGCTAGACTGGGGGCGGGAAGACGTCTCGTGCATTATTGGTGGATCAGCCTACGCCCCAGTCCAGCGTAGACTCTGACTTTAGTGATAAAAAGACTTCAACGTACACGTGCTGCAAGTAAAAAAGCCTTGTCCGATATTGTGTTTGGCCTGAAAAGTATCGCCTCGAATGCTACACCTGGGGAAAATGTACGCGTTGTTACCTTGACCCGGCTTGAAAATTCTCCCGTCCATTTCCACATTTTCAAATGGCGACCCGGATGCAAATAATACAGACCCCTGAAAGGAAGTGGTTAAAAATAGAGCGAAAAAAAGAAATCAGGGAAGCAGTTACATTTGTTATTCGATAAGCGTCCTCTGCTGTGCATTCTGCTTTACTTGTAGGATTCGACAGGGCAAATATGATAGGCCTTGGGTTGATACGAGCCATTTCGGTGATAATCTCTTCCGAAAACGATCCTCCAACGGTGGATGCACCTTTGAATTGAAAATCTTCGAGATGTTATCTACTAAAGTTGATTCCGAATCTTATAGGCTTTTTTGTTTTATATTTGAATCATAAACTGAATATTTGAAACAACTAGGGAATAAATGGCTTCTTACTTCACTGCGCAGCGAAAAAAAGCCTTTATTTTAAGAATCTATCTTTCAAAGGGTCTAAGGCGCGAGATACCCCACCATTGCCGCTGTGACTCGGCGGATTTCCCATAAATCCACCACATAGTTGTGATGGCAGGTCCAGAGTTCTTCGATACACTACCGTGTAACTTTATGTTGACTTACCTCGTATTACAGCAGCTTACAAGACACTCACGATGATACCATCCGGTTTCACGGTTTTTACTACTTCTAGCAGGTTTTTCGTGTCAGGCATATCCTAAAATACACAACTCTGTGCTCATATTAGAAAGAATACAACAATTAATTATTTCGCTGAGTTGTTCTTTGGTTCGCACTCGTACACTCATATTATCGCTGAGATGGTGTTGCGTGGGCTGCGCGCCGCTGTATGACGTAGGCGGCTAATGTTTGATAAGCTAGCCGTGACAATTGTAATCATATCTTGTTGAGTTTTGTTACAGCGCAAGACCGGAGCCCGGGACGACGCTCTACACTAGCCCAGCCACCCCTCTCGGGCCGTTGCAGTTGTCTCGACGGAGGTCTGCCACGAAACACCGCTTTCAGGTAATGCTTGAGTTGAGCGCAGTAATGCCATGCCCTCCCAATCCCGGATATTGGGCGTGTGTATAGGTTATACTGGTAAGGGGGTGTGGCAAGAGAATCGTAATTCGCCGCGCCAGTGGGCGTCGCGTGCGACGTCGCGCCCGCTAATGACGACGATTTTAGGTGGTATTGGTCGAGAATAGACAATGTATGACCAAAATAGACATAAGTGTCTACCATGTCCTTGTCTACATGAAATCCGATGCTCCAATCGAAAGGTAGTGCAAATTAAGGAAACGTCGCGCCCATTGCCGCGCGCGACGAAGCGGCAATTTACGATTCTCTTGCCCGTCTGCTGGACAAGGGATTGGCGTAAGTGAACAAAGAGATTTCCTCTCTCCTAGTTCCTGTGAAAGACATATTCGTCCTATTCTCCAGCCATACCGCCCTATGATTAACTGGCTCCCCAGAAAAAACATAATGACAATGCGCACTCCTTGTGGGCTGACGCTTTCCGCAGTGATAACGTGGAGACGTGGACGCGAAGGTCAGTACCCGAGGGAGTGATGGCAGCGCTGGTCATTGTCCTCTTCTTCGTCGCGCCATTGCCACGAAAGTTCTACGCACGCACCGCGTGCGCGCTGTCGGTAGAATTTCTCTGCCACTGGTTCAGTGTTTTCATTTTTCATGTTCCACCCTTCTTTTCGATTCAACATAGTAAATATTTTTAAAATGGGTTCTTTTCAATAATGATCCTAGCACATCATATTCAACTTCACCTTGGCAAACTTCAGATGACGATCTTGCAAGTTATTGATGCGACTTTTCGTGATCAACCCATCTATGTCCATCAAATAGATATTGGCACATGCCTCCTCTTCGCTAAGACCTTCCTCGGTCATCTGCTTCACGCACAAGTTCCGCCACCCCTGTGGCTGCCTGAAATTGCATTCTTTGAGCTACAGTAAAACCAGGGGAAATGGAATCGAGGAAAACCTACGGCTCCAGCCCCATAGAATACGAACTTGTGCTTGTGAAGTTCACGATTCGTTATCCTGGTGGCAGCCATTAGACCTGCTACCACAACGGCAGCAGTTCCTGTGATAGTTTTACGATGCTGACACGTCCACACCTTCGGCTCCCTGGGAGCCCTTTCAGAAATCTTACCTTGAATGTCGTCGTTGAACACGCAGTATTCGTCCTTGTACCTGTCCAACAGGCGGAAAGCGTTTTGATTTGCAAAGTCTTCAAACTGGATAAGAGTGTCACGACCAAACCTGTACTGATAGGAATCACCAATTAAAAAAGGAAAGCTTCTAGGAAACCAGTAAGACTTATCGTATCAGGGAGTGCCCCTTGAAGGCAAGTCGCACGATAAATCTCCAAGACATGTAGGACTAATACGCCTGACAGGCCAGGTTTCGGCGCCCCTGAGCAGGCGTTGCGTGGCGTCTTTCTCAAGGAAGCTCCCTCTATAGCGCCCTACAAGCTGCAACATACCAACCCGGACCCCCCGCACCCGCCCGCCCACAAAGTCCGACCGCTGCTGATGTTCGTGTCGCTCCAGTTAAGTAGTACAATTTGGATGCCTTATGCCTCTGGAGAAAGCTGCTTAAACTGAACTCAGCAGAGCTACCTACCTTTTAGTGCAGGCTTTCATGAAATTATCCATAAGAAGGTCGTACTGCTCTCCTCGAACCCGCTTTCGCCTAAGACCAGTATAGAAGGGATCGTTAAGTAAGCCCTGAAAAACTTTGACAGCAACTTTGCTTCCGAGCAAGTACATCCTTGTTCTCTGCAGACGCTGGGCCTTTTGGAGGGAAAGGCTGGATTTAGCGCGGTGCCAGTCCATTCTTTACCAGTTGTTATCGCTTGCCCCACGTGGGCAATTGGTGGAGAAGGGCTAATGTCGCGCCAAACCCGTTTCCCCTTGGCACGCCCCATTAGTCCGCAGCGAACAAAACTTTATGTGGTACAGCTCTGCGAACCATAGAAGGGGACAAGGCCAACCTGGTTATCAGTACCAACATCGATGATGATCGGCAAGCACCACTCCGGTTGCACACCGGCAAGTGCCACGTATAGTGCGAGCTTTCCGACAGGTATTCCGATCCCGTAAGTGCCAAGGTCGCCCAGTCCAAGAATTCGTTCCCCATCTGTCACCACAATTGCCTTGAAACGAAGAACAATATTTCATTGATATTGACAAATTGATGGAATGTTGATTAGTGGTCATTCCTTTGACGCAGGATATGATCTCCTTGCTCCAAGGCCTTCATAGCCTTCTGCATCTAAGCGAGCTTACCCGGACCTGTCATGTGCCCCGAGAACATGAGGAGAATTTGGGATGGTAGGGGCTTTTCATTTACCTTCGCTCTACCACTCTGTCAGAGGAGGTTCTTCATTGCACTCATGCAAAAGAGAATGATATTCGACGCAGTTCGGCTCGGTGGGGGAACCAAAGTGAGGGGAGGAGGAGGAGGAGGAGAGAGATTGGGACGGGGTACCTAGCAAACCCTTTACATGCCTTTTTGTGAAGTACCGTGACCAAAGCAGCTTTATTCGTATCGTTTCGCAGCAAAAGCTGCCGCTGCTGTACCAATGGTGATCGGTTAGTGAACGATTCAGGAGCGAAACAAAAAGCGGGAGAAAACGCCCTGGGTGGGCTCAAGCTATCCCTCTTGAAAATGCGCTGACTGATTGTGACGTTATCAGTCGTATAAATAGCACTATCAACTAGATCGAATTAAAACTTACCTTTACATTCCTAGTTGGCCAATTACTCAAAATCTGATAGATTTTGCTAATGCTGTTGTCGTTGATGGTTACATAAAGGCCTCTAAATATAGTCGGATCACTCAAGAAAACTAAACTGGCGCGACTTTTACTATGCTCTTATTTTGTAACTTTCGAATTGAAAAATATTGTGTGATCGGCACTATTTAGACTTCACGAGTCTACAGACTCTAAGACGAAACCTTAAAATTTGTCCGGGGGGTGGTGTTTTGATTCCCTCATCCGAAGTCATATGCCCATATCACCACAACGCTTAATTTCAACAAATCCGCCGAAAATTGTCTGCAGAGGCATTACCACCAATGGAATGCGAATATACTCCTTGCTTGGCGCAAAAACTGCTTGGAGCTGGAGGATGTATCCCGAGCGCTGGACTTTCTCGGTGTTGTCACCAGCTCGCGTTAGATGCGTTGGTGCCGCATTTTTGCGGTGCTGGCGACGGTAAGTGCTAGTACTGAAGGATCAAAACGAAGCCCAGAAACAATTCTCGATGGAAATCAGGACTGAATCTCGGGACGTGGGGTTGTAAAGAGTACATAGTGACCGTACAGTTGATAACGTCGCAATAAGTCGGGCGGTGTCGAAAGGAATGGATTGAGCCCACCCGCAGCGTTTTGACCACTTTCTTAATCGACTCACTGTTGGTGGAAGGACACAGCGGTGAGCTCCCACCCCGACTGAATGCGACAATATCAACTATAGGGATTATATACCGACTGCCTGAAATTATTCTGTAGAACTCACTTTGGATTTCTGTAGATAAAACCGAATTTTTGACACGCCAAACCAACCGTCGGGGTATAGACGATTGGCATTAGTTCTTTGATGTTATCACAGAGTACACGATAGAAGAGCTTTTCAGTTCGATCTTGCAGAGCGTCTAATTGGATGTACCTGTGGAAATTACTCTGTTACTCGTGACAACTTGCGCCAAAACATGCTAGGACTCGCGACTGTGGAGTCGGGAGCTAGGCCTGTATAGGTGGCCTAGGTGGCCAGTCAGACAGCGGTGCATCGCTGCCTGATGTCTACCCAGCTCGCCCAGCCCACAGACACGGTGCGACTACAGCCTTCAGGAAATGCCGGTGAGAGGCAGGAAATGTATGGAATAGGAAGACAGACTTAGCTAGGTTGTCGGGTTGTTGTCGAAGTTTGGCCATAACCCGATACGCTTGCTGTTCTTCTGTCATGAATGCTGGTGGCAGAAGTCCATGAATGCCAAGGTATTGGCGTTCGAACAGCGAGAAAGCCATACCCTACAATTTGCCCAAGGCTCAATGTTCGCTGGAAACGAGGTCTCTCCAGAAGCAAACCTTGTTGAGTCGCGGAGTCCTGAGCAGTTCCTCTCCTCTCTTAGCTGGTGTAATACGTTCTGGACGATAGAGCTTGTGAAGCGCCATCTGCTTGGGATCACTCAAGTCGATTTCAGCACCAAAGGAGCGCGAAGGAGCAGGTGTTGACAATGTTCGAACGCCATGCCTGACCCTGAAAATGTTCGTCAAAAGAAAAAGCCAAATTTGTCAGTCTTCAAGGCTTATTTCATGTTCAAGGACATTTAGCTGCGCCTTCCTTATCGTTGCTCATTCTAGTACGGGAGACAGGGAGTTCCAGCGAAGGCACCATGCCCGACCCAGCTCCGCCCATACATCGAGCGTGGAATGTCTCTCGGAGCGATTAAGCGCGCACGTCATCGCTTTTGCGTGATCCGAGTGGGGAAAAGCTTTTTGAACTTGGAACGGAATTTGTCCTATTCATCGACTTTTTGTCAGATTTCTCCAACAAAGGAGCATAACATCCTTTCCGGCATCGGCTGGCGTCATAAATGAATGTATTGAACGCATGCTCATATCTCCTATCAATTAAGAATAGAGTGCTATTGAAAAAGAATGACTCACGTCTCGTGCTGTAGCGCACGAAGCATTGTGGGTACCTGAAATTGTTCAGCATAACTTATGCAGAGAGATTGACAAGCGATTTTCTGAGCTTCAAAGGCACGGTCTGCTATCACGCATAGAAGTTGAAAATATAGTATTGGAAGGGCGGTGTGGTCCGCGACGAACAACCTTGTATAACCGGTGCTCAGCGGCGAAGTTCGTAAGGGAGGGTGCCTCATAGGCGCAATATAAGGTTCAGTGACGGCCCTCCTTTTTTCCAGTGACTCTGCCTAACCCGTTCGTGGAAAACTAAGCTACAGGAGGAAGAAGCATGAAAAGCGCCACTCGAACGGTCGTAGAGTTCTTATCGGGGGATAATCGTCGAAATAGGGGCGTAATGTTGGAATATGGAAGTTAACTGAGCACAGTATAATCTCCGAAATCCCTGAGATGGGTAGCGTGACACGCATCTTTCAACCTTAGCTGAAGGATGTCTATAGTGCTGTCTAGTGAGATTTCTTTGGCAACAGTTGTTGCTCATGTCTCTGTCGCAACACAGAAACAAGATGAGACAAGTTGTCCAAGAACGGGAATATGCCAAGTAGTAGGGTCCAGTTCCGTGGCACATGTTCAAATGTCACGCCTACTCTGGTTCGGGGATAAGGAGTGCACATACTGGGATCGAAATGGGGTTTTTCTAAGACACTCTGCACCTTTTCGTCTTCATGGAAACCCAATCCACTGTGATGGCGAATGATCGCGGGCTTTGCCTTTAGGCACCCTTGGTATGAAAGCCCAAACATATCCTTGAACGCTGCTAGGCTTTTCTATTATTCTTTTGGCCTTTTTTCCTAGTTTCCTATCCACAGTGAACAACGTGTGTTTAAACAAGACGTATTTTGATATCAATTACAAGTTTAGTGATATGCAAAAAAAAACAGAAAAAGCCGGATATGTTCACCAACTGAAGGCGAATATGTGTCCTTACCCTAAAAAGGCATGGGCTTAGAGTGCAGGCGACCAGACCTTTCAAGGGATAGTTCGCCAGAGACGGCATAGTCCACTGATTCTAAGCTTTGATTAGACGAGGAGATATGGAGGCGCTGCCGAGTGGTCCCCCTTCCAACAAAGTCAGCGCCAAAAACTTTAACACGCTTTGACCTCGCGAAAAATGCGCTTTTTACCCTAGAAAATAGAATTTTGGATGAATACGTCACAAAGCCAAAATCTCAGATTAATCTCCTGATATTAGGCGTCAAAAAAAGGAATGAGGAAGAAAATAAAGGAGTGCTGCCAGCTTAACAAACAAAAAAAAGAATAGTCAAAGGATATATGCTTCAGAATTAAAAGCAAGGGTTTATTCTTGGGTGGGATGGCACAGGCAGCTTGATACTCAACACAACATTATACCGAAGCCCTTAGATGATCGAGATAGAACGGCCTCAGCCGCAGGTGAGCATAGGTGTGGATATCAGCTGTCAGGAGATAGAGATGAGGAAGCTGATGAGGAAGGGGAAGCTTCTGTGAAAGGGGTCGGTAGAGAATCTAAAGCGATAGCGCTTTTCTTCCTTCATACATTCCTTCACCCCCTGAATCTCATCGATGAAGATGGGGACAAAAGGAATCGTTAATGCGCCGTCGTAGCCTCGTAACGACTAAAACGTTAAAAAAAACCTGGTCGGAGCACTATTTCGAAAAGCCCTTATGACAGCTGGATTCTAGCAAAGAACTACACGACGCAGAACGTACTCAACGGCTCTGAGAGATCAGCGAGGGTTATACGTGAAATGATGAAAAGTGCTTCTGAGGGCAGATTGCGTAATTGAAGGCGGGAAGACGAGCAATTGTTCGAAATTGGTCTGAAGACCCTCAGCCCCTTTAATCGCGGCAATTTTCTGCTCATGTCTGCGCTCTCTTACCTACAGGCCGTTTCATGGCCACGGTGGCCTCCCACATCCCATTTCGTAAAGTTCATAATGATTGGTCCGTCACAGTGAAACCTCTTCCTTTGGAAAAGTTAGTTCTCGGAGTCGTTAATTGTTTTCCCCACACCTTTATTTCGGCACCGCTGCCCTCTCTCTTTCTGCGCTACAAGGTTTCGCGACAGAACCATGCAAAAGAACTTATAGTCTCCTGAAAG